GTCAAATAAATAAATAAAATCTTAAAAAAAAAAAAAAAAACCTCAAGGCTTCTGAAACTCATCCCATTTACAAGATTGATGGAAGTATTCTCTTTTTAGGTTTTAATAGCAGAAATATTGATGTTGCTTCTGAGCATATCTGACTTTAAGGTGACCAAGAAACTTGTAAATAATCTTATTTTCCTGTTTCACAAAAATAGGACTTTTCTCATTTCTAACAGGGGCACTGGACTGTGCGGCATGTGCTTTTTATTCTCACCACATTTTTTGTGGAGGCAGAATTAAGCATCTGCCCTCTGGAGTCAGATTGCCTTAGTGTGACATCCTTGATGTGACCTCGAGCGCATTACTTAGATCCTCTGTGCCTCTGTAAAATGGGAATCACGGAAGCCTCTTCCTTCCTAGTATTTCTTTTCTAGGGTTTAACAAGTGAAGCCATCTGAAGTATCTGAAGCCATGACATAGTCAGCTGACTTCATATAAGTCTTCTGATTATCTCTCTTCTAAAGTCCTGGTTTTCTATTATGCTCTGATTATTATTTTATTTTTTCCAAAGTACTTTTATCAGTTGTGTGTGTGTGTGTGTCTGTCTGTCTGTCTATCTCAGAACAGAAATGTATTCTGGCTACCTTAAGCCCAAAGAAACTTCAGTAGCAAGTTATGGAGTGGATCACCACATGAAAGAACAGCTGAAACACCAATGTCAGGGCAGCTCAAGAACCATAGTAGCTCCAACAATGCAGGTGGCAAGAGTTAATCTAATGGTTACTTAACAGCTTGTGAGAACACTGCAGCTGGAACCAATTAGCTCCAGCCTTTTTCTGTGCTTGTGACCATCCACTCAAGTGTCAGTGGCCTGCAAGAGAGAAAGGTCTGATGTACCTGGCAGGGAGCCTGAGGACAGTTCTTGGGAAAGGGTGGTCCTTTTCAGTGGCAGTCCCTACAGAGTTATCCACAACAAGGGAATAGTCATTCCCCAAAAGACAGTTAGGATATGTTACTAGAAAAAAAAGGGGAAGTGGAGATGAGGTGACCCCAAACCAACAAATGGTGAATGGGAATATACACAAAGCAAAGTTTAAAGAGTTAAGTTTGACTCAGAATATCTCAATTAGTCATTATTTTTAGCTTATTTTAAATCAAGAAAGGTAAGTTATATGTTTGAAAAGGTAAAATTACATAGATATTGACATTTATAAAGAAGTAATATATCATTGTCTAAGAGTACAAATTAATTTCAGTTTAAGTAGAATTAATCATAAATGACTTTATTTCTACAGTTATTTTTCCATGACAAAAGGACTATTGAATATTTATTACTTACCAGAAGGGGTCATTATATTTGCTGTAAGCTGCTGTATATTTTTTTAATAATTTAGGTATAAACTACTGAAGTAGTATAGTAGTTTAGGTGGTAACATCTCATTGCTTCCTGCTAGCTGATTTCTTCATCAACCAGGCTAGACTTTATTATATATTTGTGGTCACTGACAAATTGATTGTGATGACTCGGGAAATACAGTTGTTTTGTTTCATTGTGGTTTTTTATTTTTATTTAAGATTTTATTTATTTGACAGAGAAAGACAGCGAGAGAGGGAACACAAGCAGGGGGAGTGGGAGAGGGAGAAGCAGGCTTCCCGCAGAGCAGAGTGCCTGATGCGGGGCTCAATCCCAGGACCCTGAGATCAGGGCCTGAGCCTAAGGCAGACGCTTAATGACTGAGCCACCCAGGCCACTCCCATTGCGTTTTTTAAACGATATTTATTTTTAAAATGTTAACCTGAATTACATTACCAGTTAAAAACAGAGGTTCTTGGGGCGCCTGGGTGGCTCAGTTGGTTAAGCGACTGCCTTCGGCTCAGGTCATGATCCTGGAGTCCCGGGATCGAGTCCCGCATCGGGCTCCCTGCTCGGCACGGAGTCTGCTTCTCCCTCTCCCACTCCCCCCTCTTGTGCTCTTTCTCTCACTCTCTCTCTCAAATAAATAAATAAAATCTTTTAAAAAAAATAAGAGGTTCTTTTATTATGATTACATATAAATTTTCTGTGTAGTGTGGCTCTATATTGAGGAAACAGCTAATTTAATTTGTAGTCACTTCAGTCTGTGAGGTCCATTGCCTGGCTCTTCCTTGAAAACTTTCTAATCCATAACACCAAGATTGCTTATCTACAGTGTCTACTAACAGGAGACAACCTGCTGTCTGTAATTCTGACTAAAGGACAGAGTGAAGATAGGGGTGTTAGCAGAAAGAGCACTAATTTAAGGTGTTAAACTCAAGCATTTCCAAGGAAACCTTGACTTTCTAATAAAAACTTAGGAAATTCTGATACATAGATACAAAATTGTTTTATCTTTATCATTCAGAAGTCATTCTTATGTATTTTAGGAGATTAGAGATACATAGAGGATAATTAGATCATCAGACTACCAACCAAACATGTCTTGACCATGATGCCTTCTTAAAAAGCAAACTTTAGGGGCTCCTGGGTGGCTCAGTCGTTAAGCGTCTGCCTTCGGCTCAGGTCATGATCCCAGGGACCTGGGATCGAGCCCCACATCGGGCTCCCTGCTCGACGGGAGGCCTGCTTCTCCCTCTCCCACTCCCCCTGCTTGTGTTCCCTCTCTTGCTGTGTCTCTCTCTGTCAAATAAATAAATAAATCTTAAAAAAAAAAAAAGACAAACTTTAGACACATATTGAGTATAGAAATAATTGAGTGTATCTCCATTTTTTAAAGAAGAAATCAGAATAATTTCCTGGAAGAAAGAGGATGATGATGATGGTTGTAGTGATTTGTAACAATCCATAATCAGTGTGCCAAGTGTTCTTCTCATTCCTTTACGTATGTGAATTCATTGCAGTCTCCTATATCCATCCGCATGAGAGAGGAACTCTTAGCATCACTGTTTCACAGATAGGGAAATAGGCACACACAAGTCAAATGACTTGTCTAAGGTTCACAGCTAATTAGAGCAGAATGAAACTTGAAACAGGAAGCCTGGTTTCATGCTCCAAAACACTGTGCTGTATTGTCCCTGTAAGAAGATAAAACAAAAGTAAGATGTGTAAGATTTAACCTTATATTGTCAGCTGTTTTTAGTGCTACATTTTGAGAGTATTTTCAACGTTTCATTTATACTGGTTACTTTTTGGCCTCTTGCTCACCAGATACACCTGGTTGACTGAAATTTCTCCTGTGTTCAGTTGAAGGAGATTGATAGGTTTTTAACTCCCACAAAAAAATTATTAGCTATTATAAATTTGGCTTAATTAATAAATTCATAATTTCCTTAGCAACAGATCATAGTTACTGCCCATACTACTACTCTGTAGTAACTAACACTATAATACTATAGATTATCATAAATAATATCTATAGATATTATAGATAAAATAATAATAGATACCAAATCTCTATTGTAACTTTACATTTGCTGAATTTTCACTAGAAAAATCTGGCTTTCAAATATGACCTACCAAAATATGTAAACATCTCAGTGGAAGTTGGTGTGATTCTGTAGATTATAAGATTCAAAATCAAGTTGAGAATACAGGGACCATACTCAAAATCAAGATTGTAGAATTAACTTTGTCATTTTCTCGGGTCATATATAGAGTTGATTGTAGTATGTTACTATAATTATATACAAACTGCACTAGGACATTAATATAAATCTAACTTTAAGAAGAGGAACATGGACCTAGAGGAGGATGGAACCTACCAGTTCTGTGACTTCTGCTAAATTACTTAACTCTGATCTTTGTTTCCTCAATTCTAAACTGGAGGTAAGGTGTCTACTTTTAGATGGTAATAACTACATGAGCTTGCACTTACAATATTTACACTTTTGTTGGTTGCTACATTCATTCTCAAACGGTGAAAGTTTCCCCCAATCTACTGCCTCTGTCCCCAGATAAAATGGTTTGTATTTTTCCAGCTTTTCAGTGTTTAGACTCATAAATACATAACATTTATATAGTACACATGCTTCAAAAAGAAAATCCCTCATTTAGTTATAAAAGATAAATTTTAATATGGTTTAATGTAGTACTTCCTTGGGGTGGGAATTTCTATTAAAAGGAAGAAACATTTGTGTGGATTTTCATTGTGGTGATAATTTGAATTAGTTAAATATAAGCTGCACTTTTTACTTATAATATGTACAGTCTTGTGAAAATGTTTAAATTGTGACTACAGGGCGCCTGGGTGGCTCAGTTGGTTAAGCGACTGCCTTCGGCTCAGGTCATGATCCTGGAGTCCCAGGATCGAGTCCCACATCGGGCTCCCTGCTCGGCGGGGAGTCTGCTTCTCCCACTCCCCGTTTGTGTTCCCTCTCTCGCTGTGTCTTTCTCTGTCAAATAAATAAATAAAATCTTTAAAAAAAAATAAAAAAATAAATTGTGACTACATGAAATGTTGCTGTTTCAGAGATAGAATATTTTGAACCTCAGTGAGAATTGAACTGATTTTATGTGCCAAAATAGTAATGAGATATTCACAGATGTAATGAAATCAGAGAAACCAATGTTCACTCTACTTAAATATATTTTTTTCTAAGACTCCAAATTAAAGCTACCTTAAAATGGCATCTAGATACATTTTCGTCTTCAGAAACCTCTTGTACTAGGATCTGCATGGAGTTTCAGTGATCGTATAAATGTTTTCTTTTCCTGTTAACCAGGTACTTCTGAGTCACACCCCTTGGTTACTGTAATAGTCTGTCTTAGATACCGCAGTGTATTGCTCCCTCCCTTAGCTACAGTTAAGTTGTGGCCTTAGGTTTCTCATTTTTCATTCTTTTAACTATTCTATCAGTATGTGCCATTCATGACACTGAGCAACCTGTGAGAGATGTTAATAGTTTTGACTTGAGTGGAAGTAAAAATTAGTAAAGACCACTCCTATGGGTCTCCAGACACTTACGTTTCGATTCAGCTAACCATGCAACCTCCTGTGGTAAATATGACTGACTGCTCTTTTTTCTTATGTTTTTTTAAGCAAAGCAAAGCAGCAGTTCGGCTGAAAGAAGACATGAAAAAGATAGTGGCAGTGCCACTAAATGAGCAGAGGCATTCAACCTATAAGAAGTTATTTGGAGTCAGCCTCCAAGACCTTCAACAGCAGGGGCTCACAGAGAACGGCATTCCAGCTATAGTGGGGACTATCGTGGAGTACTTGGTGAAGCATGGTAAGTTGTGGTTTCACACCGTTGTGCTTACCGTTCCTGCTTACAAGAAGAAGGTTTCTTTGTGAGCTACTTCACGATGTGTTAGAAAATTCCCTAAAACCCCTTAATTAGAATGTCAAATTATGTAATATACCTTTTCCTTTAAAAAGAACATTAAGAGCAGTATTACTGCATAATATTATTTTGACACTACTCTTCAATTTACCATGGACCAATCAATTTAATCACGGAAATTTCTGGTTTGGAATGATTCCTAGATTGGAGTTCTAAAATACACTGTTCCGGGGCGCCTGGGTGGCTCAGTCGGTTAAGCATCTGCCTTGGGCTCAGGTCATGATCCCAGGGTCCTGGGATCGAGTCCTGCATTGGGCTCCTTGCTCAGCGGGGAGCCTGCTTCTCCCTCTCCCTCTCTGCCGTTCTCCCTACTCATGCATGTGTGTGTGTGCACTCTCTCAAATAAATCTTAAAAATAAAATACATGTTCTAATAATAGTGACTTCTCTTGATTCATTAAATTCCAACTGAGAGTAATGTTTAGTGTAACAGAGCACTTTTGGGGTATCTTTTTCAGCTGAGTTCAATCCTGAACTTACCGGATGCCTTGATTGCTTTCATAAACTCAGGAGGGATACTAAAGAAAAAAAAAGTATGGTATATAGCCTATTATGGGGGTCATTTGCTTTTGAAGTGATACAATTAAGCATGTAAAACAATTGGAGAATAACATAGTTCATTGAGTGATAAAAAGATAAATCTCTCTGTTATTGAGAGCTATCTTACAGCTTTTTTTTTAATGATTTTAATTAAAATGGGACTTAAAAACCTGGATAAGTAGAGAGAAAATTCTTCCATATCCCCTATATTCATGTTGTTCAAACTAGGGTAATATGATAGGAAAACCCCAAACTACATATAAGTATCAGTAAGCTTTAGCAGGTCTGGGAAGGAAACCTTGTGAGGGAAAAGCTTGGAATTTTCATTGTTTTCTATAGGGAAACAACATTTCTACACAAAAGACTCATTGCAGAATAGGGTTTAAAATTAGGAATTTTTAAAGGGAAAACTTGAGACTTCAGAGGCATTCTGTACTTTGTGCAGTTTGTTTCCTTATCGTCCCATGATTACGAGTCCACTCCCCCCCACCCCCCACTAAGAACAATCCTTTATTGGAAATACGTGAGAAGCACAGTGCATCTGTTACTCTGTAGGAATGTGAGTCAGCTTGTGACAGGAAGGGTATGGCACGTAGTTCAGCCCTCAGAAGGTCAGGTGTCTTGTGTTAACTGAAAAAGCAACTATTCGCTCAGGTTCCTAGGTATGTAGATGACAAAATGATATTTTGTTCTGAAAACTGAAGAGCCAGTCTTGCACTCTTACTGCATAGGAGATGTCCCCGTATGTTTAGAGGATGATAAGCTGCAGACAGGTAAGATTCTTAGAGAATAGCTCTGGGTTTATTCAAATACATTAAACAGGTTAAACAAAAAAGGTGTAGTATACAGAATGGCAGGAAGATGGGACGCTGGCCTATAGGATCTTTTTTTTTTTTTTTTAAAGATTTTATTTATTTATTCATGAGAGACAGAGAGAGAGAGAGAGGCAGAGGGAGAAGCAGGCTCCCAAGGAGCAGGGAGCCCGATGTGGGACTTGATCCCAGGACCCTGGGATCGTGACCTGAGCCGAAGGCAGTCGCTTAACCATCTGAGCCACCCAGGCGCCCCTGTCTTATTTTTTTTTTTAAGATTTTATTTATTTATTTGACAGAGAGAGACACAGCGAGAGAGGGAACACAAGCAGGGGGAGTGGGAGAGGGAGAAGCAGGCTTCCCGCTGAGCCGGGAGCCCGATGCGGGACTCGATCCCAGGACCCCGGGATCATGACCTGAGCCGAAGGCAGACGCCCAACCATCTGAGCCACCCAGGCGCCCCATTAATGATTGTATTTTTAAAAAAAGATTTTATTTTATTTATTTGAGAGAGAGAGACAGAACATAAGCAGGGATGGAGGGGCAGAGGAAGAGGGGGAAGCAGACCCCCCGCTGAGCCGGGAGCCCGATGCGGGACTCGATCCCAGGACCCCGGGATCATGACCTGAGCCGAAGGCAGTCGCCTAACCAACTGAGCCACCCAGGCGCCCTCTGAGCCTAACTTTTGACAACAGTTTGAAGTCTTCCCTCCTACAAGTACTAAGACCCTGATTAAAGAAAGATCAGTTTGTTCTCAGCATATTTTTTTTTTTTAAGATTTTATTTATTTATTCGACAGAGAGAGACACAGTGAGAGAGGGAACACAAGCTGGGGGAGAGGGAGAGGGAGAAGCAGGCTCCCCACAGAGCAAGGAAACCGACGTGGGGCTCGATCCCGGGACCCTGGGATCATGACCTGAGCCGAAGGCAGACGCCCAACCGTCTGAGCCACCCAGGCGCCCCTCTGTATGTCATTCTTTTTTTTTTTTTTTTAATATTTTATTTATTTATTTGAGAGAGAGAATGAGAGACAGAGAGCACGAGAGGGAAACGGGTCAGAGGGAGAAGCAGACTCCCTGCCGAGCAGGGAGCCCCATGCGGGGCTCGATCCCAGGACCCTGGGATCATGACCCGAGCCGAAGGCAGACGCTTAACGACTGAGCTACCCAGGCGCCCTGGCCTATAGGATCTTGAAGCCACATCAAATTGTTAGAGCTTTGAAGGACTCAAAAACACTCAGTATTGAGTAAAACTGTATCCTGCTGATTTAGATATAAATGGATCCCTAGGTAATTCATTTAACCTCCTAAATAGGGTTGTTCAGGAGTATTCATTTGGATACCAAAGTGTGACTACCTAAAATATTTTGGTTTTGGTATAGTCAGTGTTCTGATCTTTTACTTAATAATGACTGAGTAATAGCCTCTTGGGGTTACTCTTATGTAAAATCATTTTCATTTTTAAGTTTTAAAAAATTAGGGGTGCCTGGGTGGCTCAGTCATTAAGCATCTGCCTTTGGCTCAGGTCATGATCCCGGGGTCCTGGGATCGAGTCCCGCATTGGGCTCCCTGCTCCGCGGGAAGCCTGCTTCTCCCTCTCCCACTCCCCCTGCTTGTGTTCCCTCTCTTGCTATGTCTCTCTCTGTCAAATAAATAAATAAAATCTTAAAAAAAAAAAGTCTTCTGGTGCAGGGGCGCCTGGGTGGTTCAGTCATTGGGCGTCTGCCTTCGGCTCAGGTCATGATCCCAGGATGCTGGGATCGAGCCCCACATCAGCTCCCTGCTCCGCGGGAAGCCTGCTTTTCTCTCTCCCACTCCCCCTACTTGTGTTCCCTCTCTCACTGTCTCTCTCTCTCTCTGTCAAATAAGTAAATAAAATCTTTAAAAAAAAAAAAATTATTGACTAGTTAGTATCTTTATGTGGTGCAAAATACTGGATATGCACTGAAACATCTCTCCCTCCAAAACCTGTCCCCTGATTATTCATTTCCCCTCCCCAAACATTACTTTACCAGTGTCTGATATAGTCTTACCAAGATAATTTATGAATATATATAATCATATATGCATATGTTCTTTTTTCCCCTTGAATATAAATACAGCATTTCACAGTTACAAATCTTTTCAAAAAGTCATTTAGCAGTATATTGTGGAGATCTTTCCATATTGCATAAAAAGCTTTACTCATGTAATTCTTTTTTCCCTTACACACTGACTATATACATGAATCATTTCTTTAAGCAGTCACATGCTGGTGAATATTGAATTGTATGTAGTCTTTTGCAATCTGTAAGCAATGATTCAGTGACCAGTCGTTCACACGGTTCATTTCAAGCACTGTGGGTGTATCTGTAGCCCTGGGTCAAGGATATGTGCATTTGTAATCAACTCTGTAGGAGTTGAACCAGTTAAATTCACAGCATCACTCTATGAACTTTTTGGCAAAATCTGAATTAGGTATTGGTTTTCTTCTGTCTCTTCTTACCCATACTTACAGTTTAGTCGGGTATATTCAGGTAATGCGAACTAAATATTTTCAGGGGCTAAATCAGTCCTTCTTAACTAGAGATGTAAAATAGAATCACTAGTGGAATCTTTTCAGAATACCCATCCATTGGTGATATTTCAGACCCACGGAATCAGAATCTTGGCTTAGGAAGTTAAGGTGGGTAGGGCACCTATCCTATATTTTGAAAGGCTGTGTAGTTAATCACTGTGGAGACAACGAGAAGTTCCTTACTATGTCTGAAACTATCATGTTAATAAACCAAAAACTTTGTGTAAGTCTGAAGGGTGGAATGAAGTTTGTGGGCAAGATACTTCAATTAGCTTCATTATTTTCTATTTTTTTAAGTCAACAGTTATTGTGCCTCTCCTTATTGTGCATCTACTATGCACAATCCAGTAGGCCCTCTGTCAGGTATCAGAGGTAGGGATGATTGGTCATATTATTTAACCCTAGGTAGTTACATAAATATTAAAGAATGATCACAGTACATGTAGACCTTTAACAACTTGAGGGAAAACTCTTCGTTATGAAAGAATTTTAGGACAGAAAGGGTTTGTTAAGGTCAATATGAAGGTCCTTTGAAAAGACTTTGAACTTATTTTCCTAAAAAGAAAAAAAAGGAAAAATATGTAATTTTTCCCATTTGAAGGAAAATCTTACAAGTTATAAGCTAGATCATCTTTATACTGTTTAAAAATAACTAATCTTGCTGACAGTGTTACTGGATTCCTTCTCTTTAGCGTGAAGATCCTATGGGAATATACCATTTTAAATAGCGTAGAACTCTCCACTTACCACCAGGTGTCAGAATATGCTCATTTATTGTCCTACTTTCTGGGCCAGTGTGCCAGAAATGCCAATTCTGACTTCTGGCATTTTCAGTTTCTAACGATGTATTCATACTGTTTTGAAATAAATATCTCAATTGTACAGGAAAGTGACTGTCAATGGGGTAGATGTTATTTCATTTATATAATTTTTTCATTTTTAAACCAATTATTAAGTTGCTGTTTTGTGTTGATTAACCTGTACCTCCTGAAGTCAAATATAGGAGAATCTCGGAAATATACGAGAATAACTTCACAAAGCCTTCTAAGCATCTCCTTCCTGTGAACATTTCTTTTTCCTAAGAATTTGGAGTAGGAAAATTGAGAGATGACATAGTCTGGTAAGCCTCATGTGGGTATTGAATATATTATAAATTTGTAAGGGGCTTTAAAAAATTGTATGGGTTTTTTTTCCCCCAAAGTATAATAGAGCCAGGGGGACATTGCCCCTAGTTGAAAATCACTGGGTATCATAAGAATTGTTTGGGTGAGAGATATTTTTGAGGGAAGAGAGTTAAACAAATAAATGGAATAGGGGCAGAAAAAATAGTCGAGAAGAAGCATGAACCTCAATGACTCCCATTTATATCTTATCTCTCTGCCAATAAAGGGCAGTGGGATCAGGGACCTTGAAGGACCAAAGCCAATTCTTAGAGCTGGGTAGTCATTTTGGAATAACTGGAAATATTTATTTGAGGGAAGGGTCAAAAAGCCTAGTTGGAAAAGAAAACCTAAGGTCAAAGCTAGAAAAACACTGTGAAATCAGGTCCAAGAGGCGTTTGCTGGCCAAAAACAGGCTCAGGAGCTGGGTAGATATAGCACTGAGATGCAGAATTCTAAATTTTCATGATTTGGGCCTTGACCAGAGATGGGTGCTCTTTTTTGAGTGCTGTCTGTTGAAGGCAGTACACATTTCTGAAGTTACAGATAAAGCTTGTAGAATGGAGGAAATAGACCTTGAAAGCTTTAAAAATGAGTTAAACGGGAAGTCTCTCAATAACAGATTCTGCAGTATTAAAGGGAATGGTATCATATTTGTTGCTGTGTAACAGATTACCCCAAAACATAGTAGTTTAAAACAACAGTGTTTATTATCTCATAGTTTCTGTGGGTCAGGAATCTGGGCACAGTCTACTTGTATCTTTTATCTTAGGGTCTCCTATAAGGCTGCAGTCATAACAGTACTTGACTGGGGGAAGGTTCACTTCCAAGCTCATTCACGTGGTTGTTAGCAGGATTCAGTTCCTTGTGGGCTGTTGACCTGAGGGTCTCAGTTACTCACTGGCTGGTGTTCCAGAAACCACCCTCCGTTCCTTGCCACGTGGACCTCTCATAAGATAGCTAACCAAATAAAAAGCAGGTGATTCATCAGAGTGAGCAAGCCTGCAAAGCTAGAGAGAAACAAACAAGTAAGATGAACATCAATCTTGTATAGTCTAATCTCAAAAGCAAGATTAGAACCTAATCACGTAATTTTATTATATTCTCCTGGTTAGAAGCAAGGCACTAGATCCAGATCACATGCGAGGGGAAGGGATTACACATGAGTGTGGATACCAGGAGATGGGCATCATTAGGGCCATTTGAGAAGCTGCCTACCACACATGCTGACTCATCTCCTCTGATTACGTGGTGCCCTGGTCACACTGGTTGGTGAAATACTTTTAATACCCTCTCTGGTTTCACAAACTTTTATCAAAATTGGAGCTAAAATTCTTGTCAACTTTTGATATTCATGTTCTTCACATCCAAAGTTTATATGCAAACATCTTATCAGTCTACAAACTCCATAAGGATAATGGTAGTGTTTGAATTTTTTTTTAAGTTCCTTAACACAGTGCCAAGTACTTATTACATATTTATTGAATTGAAGGGTTCATAAAATGTTTTATCAAATTACAAATTAAAATGAAATTAGCTTCTTTTTCTTTAGAAAGAGCGATACAATTAGCAGGTAAGAGAAAGAAGCAAAAGCTGATATAAACAAACAACCCCCCCCCCCCAATCTAAATAATTCTCATGGACTTCAATGCCTGTATCATTGCTGAATTTCACCATTAGGCTCTCAAAAGAATAGTGGCTGGTTGAGTCCTTGGGTTGCTTTTTACTAGAAAGATTGTTCCTTGTACCTTCAGCATGCCTCCACAAGCTGGCTGGCTTTCTTACATGGTGTTCTGTCTCCTTGAACCCAGCTGGAAATCATTACCTTTCCCCTAAACCGCTACCATCGCTCATCCCCACTTCACCTTATCCTTTAACAGTGCTTTTTCCTGGATTCCTAGTTTTTAAACCTTACTAGTTTTTAAACCTTAAAATTACCTTTCAACTCTTCTTCCTTACTTCCTTTTTGTACTAAATTACCCAATCATCTTTTTTTCTCTCCTTTTTCACCCTTCCCACTGGAATCTCTGTCTTACTGTCTTAGGGTAGAATGTGGTTCCCTAAGGCAGGCTTTCTGCCCTCTCCATTCTCTTCTCAGCTAGCAAGATCTTCATAATGCTTGATTATATTGTGTTCCCCCTACCCCTTAATGCTCCCATGATAAAGTCTTCCCTTTTTGTTTTTAAGTAAGCTCTACGCTCAACGTGGGGCTCAAATTCATGACCCTGAGATCAAGAGTTGCATGCTCTACAGACTGAGCCAGCTGGGCACCCCAGATCTTCACTGTTGAACTTGCCATTTGTGGCCCTATCCCATTTCTTCCATTTTATTACCCCATGGCTTTTTGACCTAAACGCTCCACATTTCCATGTGTTTATCTTCCTTTATGCTGCCTTGTCTCTGCCTCTCAATTCATATATTTGTTCCTCTTTGTTGGGGATAAATCAGGGTTTTATGTGTCCTGCTGCTTAACCCTTTGGTGGCCCTTTTCAAGAAAAAGAATACAAAATTAAGAATAAGAATTAGGGACAAGCATTGGAAAGGGCCTAAATAAATGACGGGGCCCTGAAGCTTAAACTGCGTTAACTTCACAGTTCATCAGCCCTAGTCTTCCCATCTTCCCTATGCTTTAGTCAGAGATGGTGCAGAGCACCCAAAGGCACCTTTAAGGAGCCTTCTGGGCTGACGCCAGCCAACAGTAATATCCCCTGTCAACTGGCTGAAGGCAACGAACTTGTCTTATGCTACTTTTTTAATCTCATAGAGTCTTATCCTTGGAATTCCGTGATTACTAAAGAATATTTCTTAATTATTACAAAGATAATCACATACAGTTAAGAAGTTCCTTACATACCTATTAGTTTTTCTTTTAAATAGTTTTCAAAATGCTAAGCTGCTGTTGGAGCCCAGGGTAAGTTTCCTGTAACGTACTGCAGATTATATGAATGCAGTTTTCTGTAGAAGAATCTGTTCTATGTTTATATGTGTCCTAACCTTATTCTTAGAGGTCAGCTTTTAGAACAATCCTGTATGATATTTTTAGTTGATACATAGTAGGTGTGAAAATTGATTACTGTAGGAAAGCGTTTTTGCAAAATGTGAACATTTTCCAGAACTGGATAATCCTTTAGAAAATCCTGTAGTGAAATTTATTTATTTTGTGGTTACTGTTCTCTAGAGTTAGTGTCTGTGAGAGACCTCCATTTATTTTCTGCATTTCTGCTCCCCTGCTCCAGGACTCACCCAGGAAGGCCTTTTTAGGGTGAATGGCAACGTGAAGGTGGTGGAACAGCTCCGATGCAAGTTCGAGAGTGGAGCCCCGGTGGAGCTTGGGAGAGACGGGGACGTCTGCTCAGCAGCCAGTCTGTTGAAGCTGTTCCTGAGGGAGCTGCCGGAGAGCGTGGTCACCTCCACATTGCACCCTCGATTCGTTCAGCTCTTTCGGGGTTAGTGCGGTTAAATCCTTCTAGCGCTTCAACCAGTTTTATTTTTCAGCTAAAAGTAAGCATTTACATATTAAACACCTAAATTTTAAATATTAAGCTAAGCTTTTAAATATTAGTGGTCTCTCCATCACCACCATCTTTCTATTTTAGTTACTCTAGGGCCCCATTATCTACCCTAAAATAATACTAAACTGGTTATGAAATACCACTATTAAGTGTAATTTCTGAGACTGTTGGCAGATGAATACTTAATATTGAAAAGCCCTAATATTTGTGGGCCAGAGAAATTCTTTTCTGACTAGTGGCTGTCCTAGAAGGAGTGAGAATAAGGCATTAAATTCTATGTAGGAAGCATTAATTAATTAAATTGTATTTGGTTAGTGACCTTTTGAGACTGAATGGTCAGTGGTCTGCTGTCTTTCTCTCACAAGCAAGACTGAGCCCTAAAATAATTGTGTTCATTTTACACAACTGGAGGAAAATTGGTTTTTGATTGCATTATGAAGTGATTTTGAATGAAGAAACTTCAAATTTAAAGGTAGTAATTATAGGCATCATTATTTAGTTCTCCCTCTCCAATATAGTAAGAAAAATGATTTAGTCTTGAAAAGCCATTTCTTTCCTGATTTGTGCCACGTTAGAGTGAAAAAGAGAACATATATTTTTAAGAGTGCTAATTGCCAGGTTAAAAAGGATGTTGCTTAAAACCACATTTCTTTAAAGCAGTGGTGTAATTATTCACATGTAGTAAGTATGCTAAAGAATGGGTAAGTGAGAAAGCCATGTTGTATGTTGTAGTCTACTGAAAAATAGTGATCAAATATGAAATCAAAAGTTGCAGAACCATTTGTTCGGGTGATCTAAGTGCTTTTAATAAAGATTTCCGTATCAGCAAGTGATAGTAAGTGACCTATTTGAGGCTTGTTCATTCGAAACTGAACTTTTTCATGTTTATATGTATGAGGATCTGAAGGAGGTAGCCATTGCTCCTTAACTGATTCTTCTAAGAATATTATTTTATCCTTGTCACGGAGATGTTAAATTTTAAGATAAATTTCTGAAAATCATTTTAAAATAATTGCTACAAAAGCTAGTTGAAGATTTAAATATGTCCTTCATACAAAATATTTAGTAATCAAATACTTAGTATTACTAAGAATCTTTATTATTAATATTATCTTAATTTTAAGATACTAATATTAATGATACTATATTATTTGTGAATACTTGTGAATTTTAAAAGGTTTTATCAGGTTTCTTAGAATAGCTTTCATTTGATAAAGGGAATGCACTGTTTTATTATTTTTGTTACATTATAGTAATATTTTGTTATACTTTCGCTCTTCTTTGTAAATTATCTTCTCATTCATGACCTTTCTCCCTGGTAGCCAGAAAAACTGACTTGCATCATAAAAAGCAAGTGGTATCATTCTAAAAGTAAAGCTGGTTATATACCCAACCTAAGGGGTTGTGTGATTATGCACAAATAACAAATTCTAAATGGGGCAGAGATACTGACTTTTGCCATAGTAGTAGTAGTCTCTCACTTCCTAAAAACCTTTAGGGCTAGATCTGAGATGTTCAATAAAGGAGCTATTAATGGAAGTACCTACTAGTTGTAAGCTGCTAAGTGACGGAAGGAAATAAAGTATGCTTTTAGCTATCAGATAGTACAGCCTCTTGAAAATAAATTTCTCTTTAATAATTCAGGTAGAAAAGAGCTATGGTGTTTCTCTTGGTTTATGCTGTATGTGGTACTCTTAGAGTGGAGGGTACACGCTCAGCTGGTTGCTCGAAAGCTGGAAGTGGCAAGGCTCTTTACAGACTCACTAAAGGCAGATGTTACACTTGGACATTAAAATGCAATAAGTAGGGGCACCTGGGTGGCTCAGTTGGTTAAGCGACTGCCTTCGGCTCAGGTCATGATCCTGGAGTCCCGGGATCGAGTCCCGCATCGGGCTCCCTGCTCGGCAGGGAGCCTGCTTCTCCCTCTGACCCTCCCCCCTCTCATGTGCTCTCTCTCTCTCATTCTCTCTGTCTCAAATAAATAAATAAAATCTTTAAAAAATAAAAAAATAAAAAAATAAAATGCAATAAGTATGTAATAAAAGTGTTTTGATAAAAAAGGTTACCCTACTTTTATATTTCAGTCCTCATAATAACCGATTAAATAGCTTTTATATTCTGTCACAATCCCATGCCAGATTTCTTTAAAAAAAAAAAATATTAAGGGCCTTCAAATTCTATCCTGTGTAAAAAGCAGGGTATTTCATAATTTTTCACATCAGGATCCTCTCTTCCATGCTTTATGGGATAGAACTGTAGAGCCTCAACTAAGTATTTTTTCAGACATTCAACCAAAACTTCCACTGAGGACAGTCTGTTGCCTGTAAGCATTCCTGCAGTTCTAGATCATCCTTTGATCATGCAGATCAACAATGACCCTCTGTGTGAAGAACACCATTTAGATTCTTTCTCTTGTATAACAGATTATCAATTTTAGACTTGACTGGTGTCTGAAGTTCTGAGATTGTATCTTTAGTTCGCATACCAATATTTCTGCATACCAGGTATTTATCAAAAACTTCCATCTAAAGTTGATGTCTGCCAGAACTTTTTGCTTGAGGCACAGCCCTGGTTTAGATAGTTCATATTTAAGAGAGACTCTAAAGGACTTGTGCGATCATCCTTTCCCGTGGTCTTGTTAAACTTACCTCTGACTGCAACAACTTGCCTTTCTTGACTGAGGTTTCCAGTATAATTGTCTCAGCTTGGCAGTATTTCATGATTTTTGATCTCTTATCCTTACCTAGGTGGGCCAATAACATATCCACTTTTTTATTTTAACAATCTCAGTTATGTTTTGGGCATAAATGTGGATTGCAAGCAATAAAAAGATTTTAGGATACCATTCATTTCATTTAGGATTAACTAGAAATTCCTTTATTTGAATGTTCCCTATTGAAAATCTTCTGTAATATAAATGCAACTATGTCCATCTCACAATGAATGTTTTTTGTTGTTACTTGATGAAATGGAATTGGATCAGTCCATCAGTATTTATTTAACCCCTCCTACTTAGACACAGGATGATACCAAGAAATAAAAGATAAAACATTCTGACTTTAAGGAGTGTGTGATTTAATTGAGGAGGTAGAATGTGTATGGTATACATTCTACAGTACTTCAAATGAGTGGTAAGGACATCCAGTCAGTGGTAACAAGGAGAGAGGGAAATCAGTCTGGATTATGGTGGTCAGAGAACACTTTGTGGAAAAAGTAAAATGGGGCACATGACTTTGGATGGAGAAGAAAATCATATAGGCAAGGAAAAGGGCATGAGTAAAAACACAGTCAGTGTGAGACAGAAGTGTCTAACAGAGCTGTGCATAGCTACAGGAAATTAGCAAATGGAATAACTTTAAAAAGTAGGCTGAGGGGCACCTGGGTGGCTCAGTGGGCTAAGCATCCAACTCTTGATTTTGGCTCAGGTCATGATCTCAGGGTGGAGGATCTCCATCTTGAGAGCCCCAAGCCCTGAGTCAGGCTCTGCGCTGGGCGAGAAGCAAGCATAAGATTCTCTCTCTCCCTTTCCCTCTGCCCCTCCCCCTGCACATGCTCGTGCTCTCTTCAAAACAAACAAACAATAAATAAATGTATGCTGAGACTAGATGATAGAGCATTTTGAATGTTAGGTTAAGGAATTAATATTGACCTACAAACAGTCCATTTTTGAAGAAAGAGGTCCTAGGATGGAAGCAGTATTTTTAGCAGTGCTCTGTAAGATGGATGGATGGGAAGGTGCAGGGAGAACCTCTAGAAGACCCACAGAAACATAGGTCTTGGTCCTAAGGACCTGTATCTGACAAATACTTGGCAGTGGAATTTTTTTAAATTGTGGTAAAGTATATGTAACATAAAATGGACTATTTTAACCATTTTTAAGTACACACCTCAGTGGCATTAAGCACTTCATACTTTTGTACAGCCATCACCACTATCCATCTCCAGAACTTTCTCAGCATCCCAACAGAAACTGGTAATGGAATTTTAAAGAAAACATAAACATTACAGGGTGGCCAGTAGTTAATGAGAGTAAGAAAGGAGTCAAAGATAACCCTACAGTTTTGAGTTTATGTGACTTGAAGAACAGTGGGTTAGGGAGGGGATTAGTGTGGTGACCCAGCCCTGATGCCCATATGTTTGGGGAGGGCCATGCTGCCAGAAGGCCAGTTTGTCACACTGTTGTGAATAGAAACTAATAAATCAGGAAGAACGTTTTAAGATAAAGTGGAAGTAGCACCAGGGAGAGCTCCCTGCTAATTTAGTGCTTTGAGGAGACCTGAGGCAACTGCTGTTTTTTTTGTCTACAGTAATTCATATCTTTTCAGTCTGTACCTAGGGTGGGGCCTTTACTTATTCAAATGCTTTAGGCTGTCAGACCTGATCTTTTGTCAGGAAAGGAAGAAGCACAGTCAGGAACTTTCTAGGAACCTTTTGCAGCTCACTAATGCTCCTTTCCCTGTTCTCAGGTGAATCTGGGACTTAAGCCAAAGGCTCACATGCTATTAGCTTGGTAGGGTCTGATGATCTCTTTGTGGGGCTTTATTAGTCATCTTTCTCAGATCCTGCTATTGCTATTGAAGAAGGAAGAGAGATCCTGATATGGCATCTTGACAGTTGGTCCATTAATATAAATAATGGAAGTCACGAGGGGAAGGTAATTATGAGGCTGTGTAGAGGAGCTCATTTTAAATAGATGACTAAAATGACTGTCAGTGCTTAGGAGAAAGGGATGAAGGCTAAAGATTTGAATTTCATAGTCCTCTATGTCGACTCATCTGAACAACAGAAATTTGTTTTCTCATAGTTCTGGAGGCTAGAAGTCCAAGATCAAAGTGCTGGCAGGGGTGGTTTCTGATAAGACCTCTCTCCTTGGCTTGCAGATGGTACCTTCTCACTGTGTTCTCACATGGCCTTTTCTGTGTTTGAGCTCTCTC